GGCGGCATAGAAATATAATAAATTCAATTCAATTCAATGTGATCATCTTTTGCAGCCTTCTGACAAGCAAAGTTGATAGGGAAGCCAGTTTCACTTTATAACCATGTTACTAATTTAACAACTGCAGCAATTCACTTAACAACTCTGGTCATAAAGTGTGGCTAAACTCACTTAATAATTGCCTTCCTGACTCAGCCTTCCATCCTTCCGAGGTGGGTAAAATGAGGACTCAGATTGTTGGGGGCAATATGCTGACTCTCTGTAAACCGCTTAGAGAGGGCTGAAAGCCCTATGAAGCGGTATATAAGTCTACTGCTATTGCTATTGCTATTGCCTAGGCAGGGGGTTGGACTAGAAGACCTCCAAGGTCCCTTCCAACTCTGCTATTCTAATCTATTCTGTTCTGTTCTATTCTATTCTATTCTATTCTATTTTAATTTCTTCGTCAAAACCTCCATTGTTGGAGCATCTTTACTGCTTCCGGTGGGATATCGCCCATATTTTGAACCCGGGGGATGCTTGTCTTGAGTTCAATGTCCTACCGGCGTAAACCCATGATTCTCTTGATTTGAGCCCCATGACACGTCCGGCAGTGGTACTAAAAATATCTCCATAAATCGGCTTCACCCCCCCCCCTGCCCCCGCCCCCAGACCCTTGCAGGAAGGGAAGGCTATAAGTTTGAAAAATAAATAAACAACCGAATCCCTACCACATTTCCCATGAAAGAGACGGAGTAAATTTGATTTTCACACTGAGAGTAAAAGGCCAACTCCTACACAGCCTTTGCTTATCCTCCTCTCTTATCACGTGTGAGTCACGAACCCCCCAAGGAGAAAAATGACACTAATCAGCCTTAGAAACTTTGGGGGTTTACCAAAACCATTTTTTTTTAACTTTTAAGTTTTTGGAAATAATTACGATCAGGATATTGCTTATTCCTAAACAGGTAGGTCCTCAGCTTATGAGCACAATGAAGCCCCCAATTTGTGTTGTTAAGTGGCAACACGTGTGAAGTGAGTCTTCCCCTACTTTACGACCTTTCTTGCCACGGTTGTTAAGTGAATCACGGCAATGGACAGGTGAGTCACCCAGTTGTTAAGTGAATCTTTGCCCACGGACTTGACTGGTTAAAAGGTCGTGAAAGGGGATTGCGTGACCCAGGGACATTGCAAATTTATAGCAATAGCAATAGCAGTTAGACTTATATACCGCTTCATAGGGCTTTCAGCCTTCTCTAAGCGCTTTATAGAGTCAGCATATTGCCCCCAACAACAATCCGGGTCCTCATTTTACCCANAAAAAAAAAAAAAAACTAAATAAGATCAACCTAATTCGATTTATGGAGCTACTAATTATCAGTAGCAGAGTGGGTTGACTTGCGAGGTCCTTGGTGCTCTCTGAGCTTGGTGATATTTCTTGTAGACGTTTCGTGACCCAACTAGGCAACATCATCAGTGCTAGAAGGGAGGAAGGGCTGTAGAGAGGAGGAGGAGGAGAAAATGAGAATGAGGAGAGAGAAGGAGAAAGAATGAGGAGAAAGAGAAGAGGAAGAAGAGAAGGAGACAGAGAAGAGAAGGAGAGAGGAGGAGGAAAACTGTGGGGCCCTTGGTGCTCTCTGAGCTTGGTGGTATTTCTTGTAGACGTTTCGTGACCCAGCTAGGGAACACCATCAGTGCTAGAAGGGAAGGGGGTTGTGGAAAGGCGGAGGAGGAGGAGAAAGAATGAGGAGGAGGAAGAGAAGAGGAAGGAGAGGAGAAGAGAAGAATAGAGGAGGAGGAAAACTGTCGTGTCCTTAGTGCTCTCTGAGCTTGGTGGCATTTCTTGCAGACGTTTCCTGACCCAGCTAGGGAACATCATCAGTGCTAGAAAGTAGAGGGGTTTGCCCACGGAGCACTGATGATGTTATCTAGTTGGGTCAGGAAACGTCTCCAAGAAAAACAATTACGTTCAGAGAGCACCAAGCACCCCACCGAGGGCGCTGCCTCCATCCAGGGAAACGCGACTCCTCAACTCATCCCCCCCCTCCGTACCCGCCACCTCCTCCGGCCGCCACTCTTCCGCTGGGTCCGACAGGAGCCCTCCGATGGTCTCGGTTTCCAGCTCTTCTTGGGACTGGCTGTGCCAACCTCCCCATCCGGGGAACCAGGACTGAAGGTAACGCAGCATCCCGCTGCTGCTGTTCCGGCCGCCTTCCAGCGCCACCTCCGAGGCCGAATCCAAAGAATCGGACAAGGGCTCCTTAATGCTCTGTGGGAGGATAAGTCCATCGTGAGAATGCAGCTGACATGGGTTATGCCATGTTTGTGGGCAAACGCCTTCCAGCTCAAGTAGACATGTATCTATTTGAGCAACGAAGAAGACTAGGGGACTGGAGACTAAAACATTTGAAGAACGGTTGCAGGAACTGGGTGTGTCTAGTTTAATAGAAAGAAGGACCAGGGGAGACATGATCTAAGTCTTCCAATATCTCAGGGGCTGCCCCAAAGAAGAGGGAGTCAAGCTATTCTCCAAGGCACCTGAGGGCAGGACAAGAAGCAATGGGTGGAAACTAATCAAGGAGAGAAGCAACTTAGAACTGAGGAGGAATTTCCTGACAGTGAGAACAATTAGCACAATTTATCAGTGGAATGATTTGCCTCCAGAAGTTGTGAATGCTCCAACACTGGAAGTTTTTAAGAAGATGTTGGATAGTCATTTGTCTGAAATCGTATAGGGTTTCCTGTCTAGGCAGGGGGTTGGACTAGAAGACCTCCAAGGTCCCTTCCAACTCTGTTATTCTATTCTATTCTATTGTCTGGAATGATATAAGGTCTCCTGCTCAGCAGGAAGTTGGACTATTGAAGACCTCCAAGGTCCCTTCCAACTCTGTTATTCTATTCTATTCTATT